GTAGAAATTTGTTGTTTCATTTTATCATGCCGATGACAGAGTATCTTTGCCCAATGTAAACGTTGCAGTGCACCATCCAAGTCATTATCCTGTTGAAGTCGTTTACCACGTTCAATGAAATATTTAGAAATATCCAGTGTCATACGTTCTAATAAGTCTGCATCGAAGTCAAATATTAGAATATAGTCGATATATTCAATCGCCCAGTTAGCATGCCCTTCGACGTCATGACAGAAAAGATATATGGACAAGTATGGCTGATTAGTGATTAGATCAGTGAAAATATGTCGATATTGCTCAATGATTTTTGGTACAATATGCATTCCCAATAGTCCAGAACTAATGAAGAAGATGCGCTTGTCTTGATTTTTCTCAAAAGCTTCGAGACAATCCTTCTCGTTAGTAAAAGCTTGTAAAAGAAAGCGTACACCTTCGAATTTCACCTCTTGAGCTTCTGTTGCAGCTAGTAGCTTGTCATAATCTTTGTCGTTGAGCATGGTCCAAGTTTCATGACGTGGATCAGTATTACTTGCGAAGGCTTTTTTCAAATGTATATATTCTTTAGGATTCCCAATAGACGCATCGAGCCAAAAGATCATATGATTAGGTTTTTCAGCATCGTGATCAGAGAGTGTATCGAATGTCGATTGTGACATCATTATCTAGAAATAATCAAAATTTTGATTCGAAAGTATAGATTAAAAATGAAATGATTGTGACAAATATCAACAACGAGAGATGGCACTAATGGAAACAATTTAAATCGGTTTTTTACGGGCATGGACCATAAGACATTCCATATTGATCATTGTCAGGATTCTGTTTCATTCAAAATTCAACTGCATTTATGTTATATGCTGGAAATTTAATGTGATCAGACGTGTGAATGAACGGATGTGGTTGTGGAGGTAGATGAAGACAGCATTCATAAGAAAATCTTTTCTTGCTTGCGACATTTTCTTTTCTGTCTTTTCCCTGAATATGTCACATACTGAGAAATATCAAAACACTTTTCGAGCCAATTCTTTATAAAATAAGTCAGAAATAAACTGAAATTTGCAATTTGATGATACACAATGATACTGAATTTGTATGCTTTACGTCAATCAAGGCGAATCTGATTTACATAGAAAAATAACCTTTCCTGTCCGAAAAATCATTGAATTCCAAAAGCTTTCATCTTATTTTTATACAAAGTCGATATTTTCCTCGAATTGGTTAATCTTGACGAAAAACTCAAAGTCATAAATTTGGAAGCACTATCTACAGACGGGTCGCGTTCACTTGGCCGACAATCACTTGGCCGACTCATCACTTAACCGACACCACTTCGCCGACAAATTGTTTGGCCGACATGTACACTTCGCCGACAACTCATTTGGCCGACAAATATTTGAGATCAAAAAAATTGAAATTTCTTGAAAATATTGCGTGGAATTTTCCCACTCATTCACCTATAAATAGTGAACATTTTTCAAAATAAAATCAGACGACGATTTTTTATCAGTTAAAACAAGTCTCCCGCTAACAAACTGTTTCCCGTGAGATAAGTTCGATTTTCTTCGGGGCATTGCCCATAATCTTTCATTGTAAATAAATGTGACTTTTGATAAAAAGATTTTCTGACGCAATATTTTCAAGAAATTTCATTTTATTTTACTTCAAATATTTGTCGGCCAAATGAGTTGTCGGTGAAGTGTACATGTCGGCCAAACAATTTGTCGGCGAAATGGTGTCGGTCAAGTGATGTGTCGGCCAAGTGATTGTCGGCCAAATGACTCGGACCCCTACAGACTTAGATTTCTCGACCTTCTAATTAGTTAGAAGGTTGATGTGGATCTACTCTTCATACTTATCTGCCATTACATGTCGACTATCTAATTTTTTTTTTGTATAAATTTCGAAGAAAGTTCAATCATTAACAATTAAGAAGAGAAGAAAAATTTTCTCCTATTTTATATAAAATTCTTCTCTAAAAAACATTTTCATCGAAAACATCAACAATAATTCTATTCCTAATTTTCTTTGTTTTTATTATGTTTGATAGACAAATATTGGATAAAAAAAACCATGTACGAATATCAACAAATACTCATTTTGTATTGAATATCATTTTCAAATACCAAATGATTTCAAACAGAACATGGTTGTTATTTTCTTTTTCTTTTTAAAGAGTGTAGTTCACGCTTTATAAAGTCTTTTGCCACTTGAATAACTCACTTAATCTCAACAAACTTAAACGATATTATTAATCTCTTTACTCTGAGTATTTGACTAGAGTGGTTTGTTTTGTTTATCGAATGTTTTCGCTTTTGGGAAATCAACATCGGCTGAAGATATTCTTTTTCAATTTACTGCTTTTCTTTGTCTATTCGCCAAAATTCTTTTTTATGTTTAATGTGAGATAAAATTTTAGAATGTAGGTATGTTGATCTTCTATTTAACGTTGTGGACATCCACATATATATTTGTAATGAAGAACGAGAAGGAAGAAGGATTTTCTACAACTGCGACTATATGCAGCTCTGTACAGAAGGTGTATCTGATTGATAGCTTTTCGCTGATTTCTTAAAGTCTTTGTATATGCTGACTAACCATAAGTTAGCTACAACTATTATGAAGTGTGACATAAAATAGTTAACATACTATCAGATGATTGACTCGAGAAAAATATTCGTTCTGCTATGGTCAAAATAATTCCATTACTGGTGATACCGACGTCTAAATCAAAGATAGAAACCAAATGGAATCGAATCCTTTCTAACATATTCGGTTCATAAGAACTTATTTCTTTATTACAAAGTGACACCATAACATGAATGTTTGATTGATTGATTGATTTGTATAAAAGATGCTTGCTAACAAATAGTAGCAGTTACCTTTTCATTTCTCGATCTTGTAGTCTATTATGTTTGTTTATGTTAGTAGTCATTTTTAGTATTTTTTTTTCATCATAATTATGTCGAAGTTGAATAAACTTTCGTTATCTGTAGCACATTCAACAACTATCATAAAATATTCATTATTGAACAGTAATATTTGGTCTCAAATATTGCCTAATAGTAGCAGATGGTTAACGACTCTCTCTTTTGAAAAACGTCCGTCTTTTCTGGAGTATCAAACAGTGTGTATTTCGAATCGAGAAAAAGATGCGTGTAATTACAAATTATAATAGCTCGAGTTCACTAAAGTACTTTATTGAAAGAATGAATGAGAAAAAAAATATAAAAGACTAAAATTT